AAAGGAGAGGAAAGGAGAGGAAAGGAGAGGAAAGGAGAGGAAAGGAGCAGTGGAAAAGATACAGGTTCTGAAAAAGCCATAAAAACAAAGAGTGGGATATAACTGAAACTGTATGCCCAACAGAAGTCTTCCCTCTTCTGCATACAGATGGATGCAGATATATGCAGAAGAGGTGATGGTGATGATATTTTCCCATTTTATAGGCTGCCATTTGCCCTATTGACTATGTTCTTTGTCATGCAGAAGCCTTTCAGCTACATGAGGTCCCATTTATTAATTGCTGAACTTACTGTTGGAGTTATTTATTGGTGTTCTGCTCAGGAAGTTGTCTGCTACGCCAATGTGTTTAAGGCTATTTCCCATTCTTCTACATGCGGACACACAGTTAGACCAGCATTTGTTGAAGATGCTTTCTTTTTCCACTGTATAATTTTGGCTTCTTTTTCAAAAGTCAAATGTTCATAAGTGTGTGGATTTACTTCTGGTTCTACAATATGATTCCATCGATCTACCTTTCTGCTTTTATGTCAATACCATGTTGAGGTTTTTTTTTTAAACTATTGTTCTTTAAAGAGTTGAAGTTCTTGTCATACAGGTCTTTCACTTGTAAAATAACTTGTACCAAGATATTTTATATTATTTGTGGCTACTGTGAAGGGTGTTGTTTCTGTAATCTCTTTCTCAGCCTACTTATCTGTATATAAGAGAGCTACTTAGTTTTTGAGTTAATTTTGTATCCAGCAACTTCACTGAAGGTATTCATCAGTTGTAGGGGTTCCCTGGTAGAATTTTGGTGTCACTTATGTATTCCATCATATCATCTTTGAACAGCAATACTTTGATTTCTTCCTTTCCAATTTATATCTACTTAATCGATGTAGTGGTTTCTCAGAAAACTGGAAATGGATCTACTTCAAGATCCAGCTATACAGCTCCGGGGCATATACCCAAAGGATGCTCTATCATACCACAAGGACACTTGCTCAACTATGTTCATAGCAGCTTTACTGTAATAGTCAGAAACTGGAAACAACCTAGATGTCCGTCAATTGAAGAATGGATAAAAAACATGTGGTACACTTACACAGTGGAGTATGACTCAGCTATTAGAAACAATGGCATCATGAAATTTGCAGGCAAATGGATGGAACTAGAAAAGATATCCTGAGTGAGGTAACTCAAACTCAGAAAGACAAACATGTACTTATTTGTAAGTAGATATTAGCTGTAAAGTAAAGGATAACCATGCTACATTTCAGAGGATAACCATGCTACATTTCAGAGACTCAACAAAGCTAAGTAACATGGAAGGCTCAAGGAGGAATGCTTGAATCTCACTGAGAAAAGGAAAAAGAATAGACATCCTGAAAGGACAGGTGGGGGTGGGGGTGGGGTGAGTGAGGGAACTGGGTAGGAGTGGGTGTGGGGATGGAAACAGGATAGATCAGGTAGGGGGAGCGTGGAGGGAGTACTGGGAGAGATAACTGGAATAGGGTAGGAGGCATCTCCAGGATCAACTAGAAACCTAGAGCAACGGAAACTCCCAGGCATTTATGAGGGTGACCCTAGCTAAGACTTCTTTCAGTGGGGGATATGGATCCTGAATCAGCCACCTCTTCCGACCATCTCTGTAACCAGGCAAAACTTCCAATGGAGGGATTAGGACACCAACCTAGCCACAAAATCTCTGACCTACAAGATCAGAAGATGTTCTGCCTAGAAGATGTGCAAGGGTAAAGATGGAGCAGGAATGGTCAAACAATGATTGGTCTAGCTTGAGACCTATGAGAGGGAGCCCACTCCTGATACTGTTAATAATATTCTGCTGTACCTGATGTGGTGGTTTCAATAGGCTTAGCCCAGGGAGTAGCACTATTAGGTGTGACCTTGTTGGACAAAATGTGTCACTGTAGGGATAGGTTTTGAGAGACCTTCCTCCTAGTTGCCTGGAAGTCTGCTCCTGGCTTCCTTTGGATGAAGATGTAGAATTCTCACCTCCTCCACCACCATGGTTGTCTTGATGATAATGGACCGAACCTCTAACCTGTAAGCCAGCCCCAATTAAATGCTGTCTTTTATAAGAGTTGCCTTGGTCATGGTGTCTCTTCACAGGAATGGAAACCCTGCAGACAGGAGCCTAGCATAACCATCATCAGGGAGACTTCACCCAGTAATTTATGGAAACAGATGCAGAGACTCACAGTCAAACATTAGGTAATGCTTAGGAAATAATGTGGAAGAGGGGGAGGAAGGAGTCTAGGAACCAGAAGGCTCGAGAACACCACAAGGAACTCTATAGAGTCAACTAACCTGGGCCCATAGTGGCCCACAGGAACTGAATCACCAACTAAGGAGCACACATGGGCCTGACCTAGGCCCTATGCACATATGTAACTGTTGTGCAGTGTGGTCTTCCTAACAGTGGAAGCAGGGGCTGTCTCCAATTCTGTTGCCTATCTTTGGGACCCTTTCCCTGTACTGGGCTGCCTTGTCTAACCTCAACAGAAGGTGAGCCTCGTTTTACTGCAATTTGATACTCAAAGGCTGGTTGATATCTTTGGGAGGTTTTCCCTTTTCTGAAGAGAAAGGGAGGAGAAGTGTATGTGGGTTAGAGGCAGGTGGGAGGGAAGGACTGGGAGGAGAGAACGGAGGGCAAATGGTGGCAGGGATGTAAAGTAAGTAAATTGATTAAAAAATGATAAAAAAATTCTGAAAAGTGTAAGATAAAGAGTTGAGATTATTCAAATAATTAGAGTTCAAAATTAGAAATTAATAAAATAAATTGCCACTATAATGTTACAGAAATACTTAACACATTCGTGGTACAGGTTCGAAAATGAAACACTGAGGAAGTATAATTAGTTAACTCTGATACCTCTTTATTTCTCCTAAATGGCACCCTCAGTATCTCTTCCTGTTGTTCCAACTGTCTTAGTGTGAGGGGTTTAAATGGAGATCCAGGCAGTGATTGACAGAATATATCATTCACAGGAGAGGCTCTGAACCTATTCAGTAGGAAAAAAACATTAAGGATAAATATGAATGCTTTAAAGCACATATGTGCTCTATGTCTAGAATAGTGAATGAACATCTTACTTGTATTTAGGATGACTGCACAAGAGTGGTGTCAAAATGACAACTTCATATTCGCAAGTAGTAACTTCAGCTACTGAAAGGATCTCATGCTTAGATTCAGGATGGCATATGTACATGACAGTACTGGATCTGGGCTGGTTCTGTCTCAGACTACACGGTGTACCATTTCCCATTCCCACAGGATAGTAAGCTGTCATCTGACCTTCAATGTTTTTAGTGGGAATCTTAAAAAAAAGTGTAAGACAGACCTTTTATTAGAAATTTGAGGTGTGTTTGAGGATAGGGAAAACATTTATTTTAAAAGAAAATTATATTTTCTTTGTAAACAGAAGAGGAAAATTTTTGTACTTTCTTTTAAGTCAACCTTAATGTTCTGATTCTTAAGTTCTTAGTTGAGCAAATATATATTTAGAGATAGTATAATATAGAACAAACTAAAATTAAAATGTTAAGTCAATGTACATTTAAGTGAAGAGTACAAACACATGATTAATCTGAGTTATTCTCACTCTGCAGACCAGGCTGGCCTTAAACTCAGAAATCCTCCTGCCTCTGCCTCCCAAGTGCTGGGATTCAAGGCGTGCGCCACCACCGCCCGGCTCTGAGTTATTCTCAATAGTTCTGAAGAAACAAAGCTAACGAAAAAATGTACTGTACTGGGCTGCTTAAGCTCCTTCTTCACTAAACTTGTAGTGAGCATTGTTTATATTTTATATTCTATAAGTTTCAAGGCTGATTTCTAAGTAGGGCTAATAGTGAAAGAAAAGAAAGGAAAGAAGAGATAGAAAGGAAGAGAGAAAGAAAGCAGCATCCTTTGAACTACATGAATTGCCCTTTTTACACACTACCACTCTGAGCCATCATCTGATGGAGATATATGAAGTACCTTCAATATGCATATGCAGAGCAGCCTTGCACTGGGCAGAGGTAAAAGACAGTTTCCTATTCTTAGCCTCTATGTTTACAGCCTGTGTAGGTGGGTAGCTTGCTATTTACATGTGCGGTTTATCTGTTAGTCATATGACATGAGGAACAAGCAATTAAAAAAGGCTCTTATTACTACTGTTTCCAATGCTACCCAGAAAGCAACACCATCATGCACTGAAATGATAGACTGGGTATCTTAGCATCCTTCACAGACACATAAGTGATACTGTTTTTCTGTAAGTGAAGATTGAGCTTAGGGTGTCACATATGCTAGACACTGTTCTACTCCTGGGCTATAGCTTCACTCTTCCTTGTTTTAACTGCTTTGACATCACATTTATGCATTTGCATACATGTGCACATGCAGCTTTATGTATATGTGGAAGTTAGAGGACAACTCTGAAGAGTTGGTTCTCTCCCTCTGCTATGTGGAAGGTAAATAGTCTAGGAAGTCCTTCAATTTGTGACTCTCCTGCCTCGGTCTTCCAAGAAGCTGGGATGGCAGCCTTGTATCACCAGTGTCAGCTGAGAATTTACTTAGGTATTATTTAAAAAGTAAATAGTAGGATTACAACATAATTTATTTATTTTTTTGAGACAGGGTCTCACTAATGTATATAGCCCAAGATGGGCTGGGCTCATAGAAATTTGCCCATCTCTGCTTCCTAAATGCTGGAATTAAATGTGTGAGCCATCACGCCCAGATGGTGATGCATCTTTCCATAGAAAATCCAGTTGTGATAAATTTGTAAAATTTATCTGTCCTACTTCCTTGTGGCATTATACAAGGAGCATACATGTGGCTTCTGTCACTAAGGTCATACCTAACAATGAGGTGTGAAAACTTAACACATCACTTGCCTCGTTTGACTTTTCTCTTTCTTTTGCTTCTCGTTCTGTGGAAACAAAGCAAGAAAAGGGTAATCATACAGGACAAACAATCACATCATACAATAAAAATAACTATGTTTTCCAATCAGTTTTAGAACATTAAACCTATTTTTAAAGGAGGTGCAAATACTACAAGATTTTTGCTTTGGGGTGGGTTGTTGGGTATTGGGGCCTCATGTGTGCTAGGTACTTATCCACCCTCTCCCTAGGTCTGTCCTTCAATCATTAAAGTGACTGTTCCCAAAACTGCTTTCCATGAAAGACCTGAATTTGCTTCCTGGGAATGATATGGTGGAAAGAACTGATTCCCACAAGTTTTCCTGACTCCTTTATGCATGCAGTGGCACATACCTTAAATAAAACTGTAATATAAAGTTTAAAAAAGAAAATCATACAATACCCCAAACCATTTTTTTCTTTTCTTTCTTTCTCTGAGTTAGTCTCAGGCTGCCTAAGCATATAGGCCTTGCTATGTAAAGCAAATGGCCTGAATTCCTTTTCCTCCTGCTTCTACCCTCCACACGCTAGGAGCAGAGTAGTCATGTCCACCATGCCTGCACTTAAATTTTAGTTTGAACTTACATGTTTGAACCAAGTCCAGTAGTTACTAGCATCACTGTAGAGAGACTAACCTTTTTCATACAGAAGACTCTTAGCCAACATATTCCCAAGGTAGTATTCATGAATATTTACTTTCTACATAAAAAAAAATACAGTACTTTACAAACATATTTCATTTGTTACAACTTAAAAACTATCAATATCATTAAGAAATTTCTCATTTTATGTTCTATATTTAAAGAAAAGCATACTTGGCCAGTTTCTTTTTCTTCATGGTACTGTCGAATATGTTTCCCATGACATACTTCATAAGTCCAGTAAGATTCAATCTAAAAAGACAGATATGTTTTTAAACACACAAAAGCCATAGAAGTCAACTGAATTTTACCTGAAATTTTAAGCAGTTAAGCAGATTTTTCCTGAAATCTGGAATAAATTTTTATGAAGTGACACATAATTACGGTTCACAAAATGCAAACCTTGTGAAGTGTATGTGGTTTCTACTAACAGGCTCTGTATGAAGATTAAGTCAGAAATAGAGCTAGAATGTATTTGAGTCTGCAATAACTATCCAGTTAAATAACAATTAGCATTTTATAATTCTATCATGCAAGAAAGCTTTCCTTTGAACCCCAAAACATTAAAAGTAGTTAGGTATCTGATACTTTGATATTGGTGTACTATATAAGAATTTAAATGAACAGCATACTATTAAGCAATAAGATCTGTGCCTAACTTAAAATGTGACATACCCTAATAAAGGAAGAAAAGCCATTTCCAGGACCTACCAACTGCTAGAGACTTATTTTCTTTCTTTTTTCTTTTTCTTTTTTTTTTTTTGGGGGGGGGGGTTGTTGTTGTTTGTTTGTTTTCGAGACAGGGTTTCTCTGTGTAGCCCTGGCTGCCCTGTAGACCAGGCTGGCCTCAATCTCAGAAATCCGCCTGCCTCTGCCTCCCAAGTGCTGGGATTAAAGGCGTGCGTCACCACTGCCCGGCTTGAGACTTACTTTCAAATGCACATAAAATACTTACTCTGTAGGAACAACTGCTCTGTTTAAATAGTGGTTCCAAAAGCTCTCTTGGATTGGGGCCTTTGTAATCCTTTTCTTCTTCCTAGGAAAAAAATAAGCTTAACATACAATTTTCCTAGAACGCCATCCAACTCTGCTGTTTGGGTATTAATTCAATGGTTAAATCACAAACACTTGGAAATAAGAGAAAAAGAGTCAACAACTTTAACAAGAACCTATGGGATGTCACTTCTTTCAAATGAATTGAAATATAAAGTATGAAGCCACATAAAAACCTTTTATAACATTGCATTCTCTTTTAAAAAAGGTTAAGTGTCAGTTTTCTGAACAATCCTTGTAGACTTTTCAGAATTTATAATTACCTATATTCCCCCCCCAAATTCTAGCTATGAAAGTCTTAGAATGGTTCTATTGTGGAAAGGTACTTTTCAGTTTCTTTCATATTTTTATACTTCAGACCTGAGCCACATGTGTGGCTATGTGGGTGGATTTTGTTTTAAGGGGGTTTAAAACAACTTGGAATAGCTGCCTTGGACAGATTTCAAATATGAACAAAATTTAAGAAAAGCCTTGAGTTTAATATTTCTACTTTAAAGACCATGAAAATGTAAATTGGCTTAATCAATTCATCGAGTAGAGGAACTGAGTTTCTAATTGGTCCAGGGATGCACTAACTGTAGCCTATATCTCAGCCTCAGGCTCTACACTGTTCTTTACACCTTACTATGCTGCCTCTCCTGTCTCATCTTGAAAAAAGTCATTGCCTTGAAGGGTGGATAAGAGGAGTTTAGGTCATTTTAGGAGAAGGAAAAGGGCATGAGCTAAGGTAGTGAGAAAGTATAAGGTACCTAGAGAGTTATTTATTATAAAAATTCTTTATGAAAGCACTATGTTTATATTCAAAAGCTATACTGTGTTTTCCAACCACCATTTCTATAAAGGCAAACAAGCACAGAGTTAGCTTATTGTTCAAAACATTAATAACTAATTTCTCCCTCTCTTTTGTAATTTCAGACAATTTCTCACAATGTAGTTCAGGCTGGCCTTAAGCTCATAATAATCCTTCTGCCTCAACCTCTTAGTGTTGAGATTACAGGTGTGAACACGACTTGCCTGGTTGCTAATTTTTCCAAAATAAATTCCCAAATTAAGAAAATAGTAATAAGAGGTTAGTATTCTTATGCTACAGGTTGTTGAGAAACTTGTTACTTATTTTTAAGGTATATAATCATAAGGTTGTAAAACGCATCTTTATGAGAGAGATCAGCAATATATGTATAAAAACGTACCTCATCCCCACTTGTCACAAGAGGAAGTATACATTTGTATTTTTCTTTATGTGCAGTTGTCATGATGATGTAATTATCTTCTTTATACAAAACTCCAGTTGTAGGCTAGAAATTGAATGAAAAAAAAATACATTTCAGCTAAAGTGCTTTACCCTGAATACATTCAGTGCTAGTTAGAACAAAGATTCCTCAAGTAAATTTATCATTTCAACTGAATTTTTAAAGCATATTTTCAGAGGTAGGCAAAATAGTGTAAACATCTTTTTGTTTGTTTGTTTGTTTTTTCGAGACAAGGTTTCTCTTATAGCCCAGGCTATCCTGGAACTCACTCTGTAAACCAGGCTGGCCTTGAACTCAGAAAGCCGCCAGCCTCTGCCTCTCAAGTGCTGGGATTAAAGGCGTGCGCCACCACTTCCTGGCAGTAAACATCTTTAAATGATAAGGTGGAAATAACAAACTGTATACTGTTGTCCAATCTAGCAAAAAAATAAAGTTTGAGGTGTAAAATAAAGCTAATAAGGTAATAGGCTGAAGTTTAAATGGTAATTAATAAGCATATTGAAGCTGTACACTGTGGCACACACCTTTAAGCCCAGACCTCAGGAGGCAGTGGCAGGTGCATCTGTTTAAGTTCTAGTCTACCCTGGTCTACTTTTTTGGCGGTACTAGAAGTGGAATCCAGATCTAGGCATGTGCTAAATATATGCCATTGAGCTATACTCCTAGCTTAAGAGACAAGAATGATCACATGAATGCTATCACTGAATACCTATAGCTTCTATAATCATCTATATCTGTAATCATCTATATCTGACAATCCTTAGGACTTTAAAAATGTATTATGAATTTAGTTGGACACTAGAACATAATGTAAAGCAGTTATTTTTCATACTTGGGGAATATTTATTTATAAACAAGTTCTTATAAAAAGAATAGTTATCATAGACCCTCTGTGTTGACATATCTTTTCTGAATATATATCAAGTCAGTATACTTTATTGTATTGAGCCAGAGAGTAAATGTTTTAGGCTTTATGGGCATTATTGACTGTTGAAACTTTGTCACTTTAGCAACAAAGTACAATATGTAAATAAACAGACATGGCTATCAACAAAACTATAAAATCATGTAGTTGGCTACCATAATAGCTATAGTTCATCCCTATTATATATCAACAAAACTACCCTTAAGTTTTCTATATTATAAAAACAAGTGTATATTGCTCATATGAACCAATATATTCTAAGCAAACACTTCATTTAATGTAACAGATAACATTTTACTAAAAAATTTGTTTTTTGATACATATTTCATTTTCAAGTTTGAAATTTATAATTTGAATTTATAATTCAAGTCTCTTTTCACTTTTCTTGGCTGTAAATCCACTGCCTATTTGTCTCTTACTGTTAAATATGTCTGTTCTTAAAACTTTACTGTAATTAAACCAATACTACTTGGAACCAATGCAATCTTAAATATAAATGGCAAATAGGGTAATGTTTTCCCAAGACAAAGAAAAAAACAGAAAGGCAGTATTAACTCTTAGAAGCTGGAGAATAAGTTCCAGGCTTCCTGCCCTCCACATCCAAATTGAAAAATACCAAAATCCTTCATAGAAATGGCATTGATTTGAATGTAACCCATGCAGTAGCCTTTCTTATATTTTAATCTTATCTAGATAATTTACAACACTAATGCAATGTAAGTGTATAAATATGCTATACTGTTTTACTTTTTTCTTTTTAAGTAATGAGAAGAAAAGGTCTGTATGCATTATGTTTAGACCCAATTGCTTCCCTCTGACTTTTGTTGGTATAATTTTTTTTAATTCTCTCTCTGCATCCATCTATCTATCCATCCATCCATCTATCCATCCATCCATCCATCCATCCATCCATCTATCTAGAACATCTCTCTATGTAGCCCTAGTTGTTCTGTAACTTGTGTAGACCAGGCTGGCCGACAACTCAGAGATCTCTGTCTTTGTTTCCCAAATTGTTGACAGTTTTTTTTCTAGATATTGCAGGTTGATCTTGACTGAACTCACTATGGAGGCCAGGATGGCTTTTAATCCACAGCAATTAATCATCCTGCCTCAGCCTCCTAAATTTTGGATTATAGGAATATGCTTCCTTCTCTTGAGAATTTTGATGCTAGGCTGGGTAAATCTACAGATATGAACATGCAAAACCAACTGTCTTCTTTTATAACTACTTTGTATTTATTAATTTATTCACTATCAAATGAAGCATTATACTCATTTTTACAGCATTATACAGCAGAGAAAAGGACTCTGAGGTCAGAGCTTAAATAACTTGTCCAATGTTAATCTAAATGTCAATCTACCTAGACAAAACAGCTCAGAGAAGCCAAGCAGGCTAGCTCCATGGGAGTGTGCTTATTACTGTTGTAACATATTTGAGCCAGCTTTTATTATATATTCTAAAGATTACAGCGTATACTTAGTTTATGATCAACAATCCTTATTTAAAAGACCATTTTAGGTAATGAGGAAATCAAAGTATTTGAAACTTAAGAGCTGTGGGGTCAAATTGTATTTACTTTCTGGGGACAGTCTCATGTAACATGAACTATATAGACACTTGCTATACAGACAATGAACTAAGCTAAGCTAGCCTTGAATTCCTGATCTTTTTGTCTCTACTTAGCAAGCGCTGGGATTAGAGGAATGTGCTACCATATCCTGCCTGGAAGACAATTCTTTTATTTTTAGTTTATCAAAAGACTATTCATTTATTTTTGAGGCAGGATCTCATTGTATAGCCCTGGTTGGCCCACAACTTGCTATATAGACCAGGCTGGTCTTGAACTCAGAGATCAACCTGCCTGAGCCTCCTGAGTGCTGGGATTAGAGGTGTCAACCACAAGTGCTAGACTAAAGGCATGCACCTATTTGAGAGTATGGATGCAGGCTTCTTATCATTACTTGGAAGAAGATATTTGATGTAAAGAGTCTTCATTAATTTATAGAAGCCTAGCACCCTTTCCCCATAGGGTTTCTCTGTGTAGCCCTGGCAGTCTTTCTCTCACTTTGTTGACCAGGTTGGACTTGAACTCAGAAATCCACCTGCCTCTGCCTCCTGAGTGCTGGGATTAGCAGTGTGCACACCTCCCCCTGTCTAGTTTTCAAAAAAGGGGATGCAATAGTGAAAAGCTTGCTGGATCAGTGAGTCATGTGCTACTAGGATCACAAGGTTTACACTTGATTATCTTTACCTATATGTATTTTGGGAATATAAATTACTAGAAAAGAGTCAGGTGTGGTAGTGTGTGTTTATAATCTATAACCCCATGTTTTGGGGTGGGTGGTGCTGAGGCAGATGTATATTCTCAAGATAGAAGCCAAAGACCTTACCTCAACAACAGCAAGACAAATAACTACAACAACAGGCTTAGGAGAAAAAAAAGTGAAATATTTTAATTCAGTGTCTGTCTATTTTGGGTGGTAGACAAAAGATTTTATACTAGTTCACACAGCTGCTGAGTTTCTTACAACTGTCCAACCAACTGATTCATAAAAATAACTAGCAACAACATGCAAAGTAGTTATTTCAATTAAATATTATTATTTAATTGGAAGGGAAGTGTTAAGACTACAGAAGTATTTGAAATTTTCAAAAGACCAACTATTAAAAGCTTACTTTTGTGCAAGGACATGGCTCTTTCCCCTATTTATAGAAATCATCTAGGTTTTTTTTTCTCAAAATAATTCAAACTAAACAAAAAGAAACAAAACAAAACTCTCGAGTCTTTGGTATGTCCCTCTTAGATTTTGTTGCCACCTCCTCAGATCTGTAATATTTTCCACAGGTGTTTTAACACTGGAGACTAACGGAAATAAAAAAAAAATATATCAGATCACTAATACAAAGAAAGACTTGACCTTCCAGAGAAACATTTACTACTCAAATTCAAGAATATGGTCAGAATGTAGCAGGAAGGCTGAGAAACAAATGGAGTATGAAAATACATCATAAGCAAAACCAAGGCAAGCAGAATGCTATGTGGTACTGTGAAACTGAAAGTCTTCTGCCCTAGGCTATGTTTTGTCACTGACTTATATTCTAGATGCCTCACTTGGTACATATTGTTTTGGCATTATGTTAATACCTAGTACTATCTCAATGGAATAGTAAGTGAGAAATATAATAAAATTGCCCCAACTTGAATGATGACATATAATTTGAATACAATTAAAAAAAAAACAAAACAAAAAACCCCTTTTGCTTTTCCTGGGATGTCATTCTGAAGTAAATGAGTATATGGTACAGCTAAGAGGACAGTCTTTAAAAAGATTTTATTCTTCTCTTTAATTCTGTGTGTGGGTGTGAGGTTACATACATGAGTGCAGTGGGAAGATGACTGACGACACTGGAGCTGGAGTTAGTTACATGGTGTTGTGAGCCACCGGATCTGGGTGCTAGCAATCAAACTTGTATCCCCTGGAAGGGCAGTAAGTGTTCTTAACAACTAAGGTATATTTTCAGCCCACAAGATCACCTTTTACAATAAATTGATCTGTTGTAGTTACACATGGATAGACTTTTAAGCACTACATTCTCTCAAAACAGAATTTTCATTCTCGTCAGATTATACACCAAAATCTCATATTCTAGTACTGGAAAGATGGCACAGAAATTAAAAACGCATTTCTACTCTTCTCAGGAGTGAGTACAGTTCCCAGTACTCACGTTCGGGGCCTCACAACCACTAGCCCTTTCATTCTTGCCTTTTCACACGATACACATTAATTAACGATCATAAAATCCTTTTCATCCCAGGTTCTAGAGTCCTAAATAACATACATTCAAGTCTCTAGTTTATTCTGCATGGCCAGCAGTATTCGGCATACAAGTTCACTAATGTCTTCCAAACCAAATAGCCTTCTCAAATGCCTTAAGGGAAAAGATCCCCAGAAGGTGAACGGCTGTATACGTCGTTTTTAAGTGTGTGTGTTGGACAGGAAGAATGAATAGAGATGAGGCTCCTGTCTGTTGGACGGTTGTGTGGGTAGGGTGATGTGCTAGTAAATTCTACGACTTCCTCCACAGAGTGGGACTGTTGAGAAGCCAGGTCTAATGCAATGAGATTTAAAGGAGGGAGATGAAGTGACCACTGGATCTCCTAGTTAGTATGGAAGGCATATCCACTTAGTGTGCTAAATGAATTAATGGATGAACGAAGACACTTCGGCTTGGGGACGGTAAACGCTTGGGGGAAAAAAAGGTTCTTAAAGGAAAAGCTCGGGAAACTGAGGGCTGGCCCGAATGTTTCGTGCAGGAAAGAGGGGAGAAGGCTGCGGCTCGCGAGGGCACTGACCAGAGAGAACTCGGTGCCGGGCCAGTTGACTCGGAAGGGGATGTCGTCGCTGAGCTGGGGCAGCGCTCGGCCGCCGCCGGACGCCTCCAGGAGACCGTACAGAACCAGCAACAGCGGCCCTCCGGGGACCAGGCTCCGCAAGCCGCCGCCTCCTTCCTCCATTGCCGCGTCCTCCAGCCGCCGTCACAACCTCCTCTACCCGAGGAGAACAGGTGGTGGAGGAGGAGGAGGAGGAGAAGGAGGCGGCGGCGGGACTACAAAGCGTCCTTGGTACAGGAGACCCAACCGCCGCCACGTCTCCTTCCGGACGGCCGGGCAAAGCCGCCCCCGCCCTTACAAGGGCTTCGGGCCACCGCTTCCGGGGCAGGTAGCACATCAACATCCGGGGTCGTGGGGTCGGTGGCTTACGGAAGCCGGCGCTTGGGTTGCGTTGCATTGCGTTGCCGCCGTAGCATCCTAGCGGTTGGACTCAAACGCGGAGGCCCGGGACTGACGCCGGTTGAACGGGTCTGGAGACAGCCCTTGGGCGAAGCGGCCTGACTAGGTGAGTCCTGGCCCGGGCGCTCAGTACAGCCGCAAGAGACTCTCGGGGGTTGAGGGTGAGTGGGTAGCGGCTAGCTCTCAGAAAGCTAGTAGAGAACAGAGATGTTCAGAGTTGAAGTAGAACTTACAGTTCCGACTGAGCTGCCTACCCTCCACTCTTTTGCTATTTGCATTCTCCATCTTCTCTCCAGAAGCTTCTCTTAGTTTCTTTTGCTGGAGACTGTTGTCAGGTCGGTCTGAGCTACTGTGTGTTTGGGGACACCCGAGTGACACCTGCCATGTCCTTAAAGTTTTGCATAGACATGGACGGTTAGGCTTTTACAGTACTTCATTTTTACTCTAGGAGGGGTCTTCCCTCCCTTGACTCAAGTGTTGGGCTGTTGTTACTTAGGGGTCCGGAAAGCTTGTTTACATCAAGGCCAGAGCCAAGTGAATGTGAAGTTATGAACCAAGTTACAGCAGACTGCATATAGACAGAAAGTTTTGGTTTCTTCTCCCTTTCTTGAAAAAAAAAAGTCTGCATTTTTTTCATCTCCAGTATAATAATTTTACAGTGTTTGCCATAGAACATTTGGTAAGGTCTGCCCATGCTTTGGTGTTCAAATCCATTGGAAGAAATCAGAGACTTAGACTCAATTCTAATTTAGATTAAACGAACTTATTCTTACTGCTTGCAGAAGGAAGGCAGCCGTAGAGCGAATACAACTTCCCTTGCAAAAGGTGAATTAAGGTGGGTTTTTACGGTGGACATCCGAAAAGTGTGAATCCGAAAGGTGTGAATTACTGATCCATGGAGTCCACATCTGGTCAGGAAAATTGTCTTACTGCTCTAAGTTGTTTCTTACTTTCTCACTATATAGTAATACAAAGACCGTTTTATCCCTTTGCCAGAGCGGTAGTGAGTTTTACAAAAGCAAAGCAGCTGTTAGTGCCTCCCTCACAGCCCGTTCCGTGGAGGTCATTAAGATCTCCCAAGGCATTCCAGAGCAAAGAGTCAGTGGCCTTAAGAGATGCCTGGCTCTGGGTTAAGTTTCTTTAGTCGTCACAGAGGACTTGTGTAAATTATTACTCAGGTCTGAGCACTCGAATGACTGAGATGGGGCAGTTCATTTCTCGGTGGACAAAAACATAGTGTCATTAGGTTAAGGCTGGCTGTCATGTCCCCACACCTAAATTTGAACCAAATCAGAAAGCAAGAAGAACAGTCCATTTTTCATTTCTATAAGTATTCTCTAACGTAAAGACTCAACACTATTAAAGAAAACAATATTGTTCTAGAACTGATTACATTTGTACATCTTAAATGTTTAATGTGTGTCAGACACTGGGGTTGATAAGCTAGAGAATAAATAGACTCCTGTCATATGTATCTCATTTTCTAGCACGGGGGAGTATACAAATGAATAATTATGAACTAGGAGCTAGAGAAATGGTTCAGTTATTAAAAGCACTGGTTGCTCTTCTAGAGGACTGGCGGTTAGGGTCCCAGTGCTCACATGGAGACAGGTTCCAACCATCTGTAACTCCACTTTGAGACACATGCACAGATATGCACAACACAAAACACATAATAATAATAACAATAACAATAACAATAACAGAATAATAAAAAATTCTAACTAGGTAGAATAATACTTAACATTTATTACTTAGTTTCTGCTAATCATAATATGACTATAAATACTTCTACTGCATTAAGAAGTCTAATCCTTATGACTCTGGTTCTGTAAATTTTATAGTAACTAGATGTTGGGATGAAGATAAAAAGAAGGAACTGAAGAACTCCAAACTTGGACAGAAAAGATGTGACACTAGACCTGGAACTTAAAAGGTTTATAGGATTTCATTAGACAGTAGGGAGAGTGTGTTCAGTCTTCAGATGGTCCATTAGTGCTTTTTGGTGTGGTCAGAGGACAAGGTGAGGTAGAACCAGCAGCAGGAGATTGGGAATATTGAGGAAGAGAGAGTTGGTTCAGAGAATGTTGCTTAAGTGTCAAAGAACGGTCTGAGCTTTTTAAAAATAGGTCAGTACTTTTTTGGTCTGAAACTCTGTGTAGTGTGGCTGACCTTTCATTAAGAATCTTTATGTATATGGATATTTTCCTCCATGTATGTCTTGTACCACATGGGTGCAGTGCCTATAGAGGACAGAAGAGGGTATTGGATCCTTTGGAATTGGAGTTACAGATGATAGTTAGCCTTCATATCTGGGAATCAAACTTGGGTCCTCTAGAAGACCAGCTAGTTCTTTTAACCTTTGAGCCATTTTTCTAGTTCCTTGGCCTCGAATCTGTAATCCCAAGCCTCTCACATGCCGGGGAGGTCAGAACTCTGTGAGATGGTAGACTTTGCATTGGAATCATTTGAGGGTATGTCTGTTTTTCAAGCCTATAAAGCAAATAGCGATGACCAAATGGATTAAATGTTTGAATGGCCAGAAAAAAAGAGGATAACTTAGAGGAGTAATTGAATAATTGGTGTTTAAGGTGTTAAATAGTTGTCCCTGCTTCAGACTCTGAGATTATAGTGATTGAATATGCTGTCAGTGGAGTGTAGGTTCAAGTAAGGAAGAAATATAAGTAAAATAATTTCTAAATGCTGCAAAGAAACTAGGTTTTCATGAAAGAAAGTGCCACTGGTGTGTTTGGTGTTTGGTAAGTAGTCTCATAGCTAAACAGGTAGACTCTACCTAAGCAGGTAGGTGCCCAGGAGGAAGTGACACTTCTGATTTGCCTTAATTGGTTAAACAAGGAGAACTACATAGAAATGTCCAGGCAGAAGCCTGAGGCAGGAATGAGATTGGCCTGTGTGGTGGTTTGAATATGCTTGGCCCATGGGACGTGACACTGTTAGGAGATGTGGCCTTGTTGGAAGGTGAGTCACTGTGGAGATAGGCTTTGAGGCCTCCTATTATTTAAGCTCCACCCAATGTGGAACAGAGAGCCCTTCCTGGCTGCCTGTGGAAGGAAGTTCCTGGCTGCCTTCAGATTAAGATGTTCAGTTCTCGACTCTTCCTCCATCACCATTGTCTGCATGCTGCCGTGCTTCCCTCCTTGGTGATAATGGACTAAACCTTTGAAACTGTAAACTCGCCCCAATGAAATGCATTTCTTTATAAGAGTTGCCTTGGTCATTCATGGTGTCTCTTCACAGCAATGAAAACTGTAACTAAGACAGCTTGTTTGAAGGACTGAGAGGCCAGTATAGCTGGTGTACAAGAAGACTGTGCCAAAAAATGACATTGGAAAGGCTGGGAGAGGTCACTTGAACACAGTCTTGTAGGCAGGACAGTGACAAGGCCTGATGTCCGCTTAGGAAGACCATTATGGTTGCTGTATGGAAAAGTGATTTGGGGGCTGTTGTGCGTTGAATATGTAGACATTGCTAGTATGTAGACAGTTCCTAGTCTTCAGAACCCAAATATAAACTACTTGGAAATGAAATATTTATAGCTGTAATTCAACTTAAGATGAGGTCAAAATGAATTAGGGTGGGCCTTAATCCAATGACTAAAATCTTTTTAAGAAGAGTGAAATTTGGGCTGGAGAGATGGCTCAGTGGTTAAGAACACTGACTGCTCTTCCAGAGGTCCTGAGTTCAATTCCTGGCAACCACATGGTGGCTCACAACCATCTGCAATGGGGTCTGAGGCTCTCTTCTGGTGTGTCTGAAAAGAGCAATGGTGAACACATAAAATAAATAAACAAATCTTAAAAAAAAAAAAGAAGAGTGAAATTTGAACTTAGACACACAGGGAAAATGTCATGTAAAGGAAGCAGAGGTTTGAGCAATCTATCTACAAAAGCTGGTAGCACAGAAATAGAAAGGTTTAATCAGACATACTTTTTATTTATAAGTATGCAATAACAACAATTACTGTTCTAAAATTGTATTATTATTGTATATATATATGTAGGGGGTATGGGCGCATGTCACAGGAAGGACCACTTTTTGAACCTCAGGGTGAGACAATGTTAAGAAGCTGTGTAAGATGGTAACTAACCACTATGTGACAGCACAGGATGGGATTATAGGTAAAGACGGAGCTGACTTGTGCTGGCTAGTTTTATATCTACTTGACACAAGTTAGACACCTTTTGGAAGAGGGAACCTCTGTTGAGAAAATGTCCCACCAGACTGGCCTGCGGGCAAGCCCGCGGTGGTTTCCTCAATTGAGGATTGATGTGGGAGGGCCCTGCTGTCCCAGGTGTGATAATAGAACAGGATGAGCAAGTGATGAACAGCAAACCAGTCGCCTGACTCCTGCTCTGTCTGTTCCATTCTGCCTTCAGGTTTCTGCTCCGAGTTCCTGCCTCTATGACTTGCTCCAGTTTCTGCCCTGGCTTCTCAGTGGTAGACTTAAAAGCTATGACCTAAAATAAATTCTTTCCTTCCAAAGTTGCTTTTGGTCATGGTGCTTTATCACATTAATAGAAACCCCAATGAAGACATGACTGGATTGGATAGAAATCAAGAACTTGCAGAGTGATATTAATGAAAGCAATATGCTTTTGTATTTTTGAGAGGTTAGAAAAGGTATTCTCAACCTTGATACTATTGGTAGTTTGACTGGAACGATACTTTGTGTGGCGTGCTATAATGTGTTCTGTATGTTTACTATCCTTGCTTTGGGTTTACCAGATGCCAGTAACAATGGCTGACTTTCCATACCAGTTTGTGACACTCAAAAGTAACCACAGACATTTTCAAATGTTCTCTGCAGACAAACTAGGCTGTGGTTAAGAACGACTAGTCTAGACTTTTAAATAAGACACATGTTTAGCTAACTTACTGAGTGAGAAAATCTTCAGGAATGCATGGATAACCTCATCACTCCAAGAATTTGGTAGGAAGTGAGTCCTTCCTTTGTTTTAAATGCCATATTCTATCTGTAATGACATCTCATTTGACCTTGCATTGGTGCCATCATATCATGTTAGACCTTCTCTGTCATTTGTTTCCCTCACTGCTGTGATCTAATACCTAACAGAAGCAGCTCAA